ATGTTAGTACGCACGATTTCTCAAACCTCTTCCAGCCTTCGCACTCATTTCCGTTGTTAAAATTTTACGGAATACGCCCAGTTTGAAGGAAACTTATTTTTCACTTTTGTCTTGTAGAACTGGGCGCCACCCGGATGTGAGGAGATCGACGAGTGCTACAAAGGTCCACCATCACATCCCTACAAATGTCCTTGGCCCCACTAAGGGAAGGTCATTATTATTAATGAAGAGGGGGAAGAGGGGAGGGGGATCAAGGCTATTTTAGATATTGGCAAGATGGGGTTGAAGTTTTTTTTAAAGAAGTTTAGGCGGGGTCAGCGGTTTGAAATAAATTTTAAAAGTTGTTCCTTGCCCCAGGTGGTTAATTAAATGATAGAATGCAAACAATATTTGTGAAACAGTAATGCTAAGTATGCAATTTTATGTAGATTCTATTGTTTTCTTTTGTTTAAACACTACTATTGTGTACAACTTGGTGATTTATATTTCACAAGAATACTGCTTGCACTATTAACTCCATTGCTATCAAATTTTAAACACAATATCCCGAGAAATGGGCATATCCGTCATCTTATGAATTAAACATCAACAGAAAATGTATTAGTAATGTTTTGGTAAGCGTTCGTCCAAACACAGCGGATTACAAAAAAGACGGGGAAAAGAACGCCATAAAAAAGAGTCCTTGTTGCCACCTCCCACTCGATCTTGTCTCTTCTCTACTCAAACACCTAGACACACCGTCTTTTCAACTTTTTTTTGTTCATAAATGTACTTTTATTTTGTTGATACTGTCTTTTAGTTTTTTTTTTAGTTTTTCGTATGGTTGTTGTTACTCCAAATCTCCTCCAGAATAAATTACTGGTTACTTCAAGACACCCTTTCCAGGCTCTAGAAAGTTTCAATTCCTTTCATTTTCACACCCATCCTCTCCTCCTTCGATAAATAAAGAACGGTTCTGTTTATTACCTTTCCCACCATTTTCCGTTTTTGTGTACAAGAAGCTAGGCTTTTTAAAAGTGAAGTGTCAAAATAATCCACAATTGAAAACGTCCACCACTGAGAGACTCCATTATTCTGCGGTGTTTTCTTACGGCCAATAATGAAGAAACTTTCAAAATGTGTGGGTTTTCCAACGAAAACGAAAAGTCATGGCTTGGCAAGCTGTTGACGAGTTTATAACGATTAATTTGTGCTCCTAAAATGAGAGCTCGAAAGTACTGGGAACATACGTATCTCCACTACCCTCCCCACACCCATCACCCTGGCATCATTGTAATGCGCGGTCCGACCTGGAAACAAGTCTGCTATGTCTCTTTTCCTAATATGGGTAGCAGTTTTCATTTTGACCAATAAGATGCACGCTTTAACCCAACGTACGAAATTCGAAGTTTTAATCTGGCGTTTTAACTTTTCGAAGCACGTAATGTTTTGGAGAAGAGCAAGCACATTATTTGGAATCGAAAAGTTAATCAATTTCTCAGCATAGGAAAAGTTAGATCAACAAGAAATATGGTAAGAATACTCTGTATTTCACTATTTTATCGCGTGTCTGACTGATTAAGGAAGGATTCTCAAAAGTGTACGTGTTCATTGCCGTGCACGGATTCGTTGTCCTCGACAAGTTTATCGAAATTGATCGAAAGCTTACCATCATTCAGCATGCATTTTAGGTTATGATCGCCATGTCCTCTGAAGATCATTGCTGTTGGGGTAGATACTCTCTCTTTGTCTAACACAAGCTGATGTCTTCTTTCAAAGTTTAGCGAGGAACGTTAAAAGTAGTAGAACACGAACACGCGCTCGTGTCAATACAAAAACTTCATTGAAAGGTATCGCAAGATTAACGGGTGAAAGACGATGAATTGCTGAATCTTTTCCGTGTTTTTTTTTTTTCATGGTTAGGATGTTCTCAAAACGAATGGAGTTAACAACAACGCGAACCCACAGCGTGTTGCTCTGAAAGAAACACAAGACTTGAAAGTTAAACTGCAAGAATGCCTTCACCTATCGACATCGAACAACCAAGCTAATCGACAATTGCAACAGGCAAATCACAAACCGAATGGATGGATAAAACAAGAGCACTCTTCTGCACAAAATCATCGCCAACATCATCACCAGGTTGAACGAACAGATGACAAATCGTCTGCACATTCACAAGATGAAAATAAAGAAAACAACGAGAAAGAACGCTCTAAGAAGTCCAAGTGAGAAGTTAATCCCTGTCGAATTATGTACCATACGTTTGAGAAATATAAACTTTGCCTTGCACTGTAGTACAACATTCTTTTCATAATATTTGAATATGTATCGTTATTTAACAGGGCCTGTTGGTCACTGGATGACTTTGATATTGGCAAGCCGCTAGGAAAAGGTTGGTTTCTTGTCAGTTTCGCATTCTACAGATCAAATTTCCAAACGTGGGCGCATCTTGGCGCCTTGACAATGCTCTGCCTTCTACCGTGCTTTGTCAGAATATCCTGGCTATCCATATACTATTTCTCAGTCTTGTTCTTTCCTTTTTAATATTATGTAGGAAAATTTGGAAATGTGTACCTGGCAAGGGATAAGAAGAGTAAATACATTGTAGCCCTTAAGGTATGTCAGACATAGCTGGGACTGGAGATTGGTATGTATAGATTATAAATTATCCTTCCATAGTCTACGATTTGGCAATATCATCTTAACAAAGCACTTATGGCTCGATTTCAATTGGGAAAGGAATTCAATAAGATAAAGAAATTAAAATTTAAGATATCCTTGTGTCTACCTGAAAATTGAAGCTTTGTTTACCATGAGGCTTAGCTGAATCAGGCACAGGACAATCATTTGAAAATGACAAGAATAGAAACTCTTAGCCAAACTGACTGTTCAGTGACTTCCTTCTTAAAATCCTATCTTGATTTAAAGGATAAAGTTCTAAATCTCACATACGCAAGAAAAATAAAGCCAAGAATTAAATATTATTGACCACTTTCATAAATGGCTGGCGGATTGATATTCTTTTATTTAAATTCAAATTAGCCTCACTAGCCTCGCTTGAGATAATGCATTCTTTTTAATTTTGAACTAGAGAATGAGGCCAGAAAGGCTTATTTAAATTTAAACAAAAGAATATCAATCCGGCAGCCATTTAAGAAAGTCATTGATACATTTGAATATTTTTCATCTATTCACCTACCTGTAAAGAATAGTGCCTAATTTTTCTCTTCCTCGCTATAGCCATACTCGGCAAACTGGTCTATTCATTACAAATGTGTAAGGACATTCTTACTGAGTGTACTTGATCCTTGTTTCTGGTCTAATGAATTCATAAGTGGTAGATTCTAGCCAAGGTAATACAACTGGGATTCTGGGGAGATACTCATATTCTTTTTCAGCATACTTAATCACTTCAACTTTTTCTTTTTAAACTATTTTCAGGTCTTGTTTAAATCACAGTTAGAGAAAAATAACGTGGAACACCAACTTAGAAGGGAAATTGAAATTCAGTCTCATCTCAGGTGAGCTTTAAGAATTTGGGCAACTTACAATATGGATATTGATGAAAATTGATGAGTAAACTCCTTAGAAAAACATTGAATATTTGAGTGGTGGCCATTAATGATAATTGAAAATAGGACTGGTCTAATTAATGGTTTTCTGAATCATCAGCTTCTTTATGTCAGAAACTCAAGATGCTGCCAAGATGTCCAGAATCAAACACATACATGTCATAACTTTTTTTTTTACATTTATACAGGCATCCCCACATTCTTCGCCTTTTTGGTTATTTCTATGATAAGACAAGAGTATATCTTATCTTAGAATATGCTCCAAGAGGTGAGCTGTACAAAGAGTTGAATAAAGTTGAGAGGTTTGACGAGAAAAAATCCTCAAATGTGAGTATTGTACCATCATTGCAATATCTTTGAATGTAACTTGTTTCTGCCAATTCAATTCAGTTTACTAACACGAGTGCTTGCACATAAAAATCTTCCAATCAGCTTGCAATATTGGTTGACTGAAATAATACAACTAGGAAACAATTTTTGATAAAATTTGATTAGTTTTCTATGTGGTTGTGCTTCTACTGAGATACAACTGCTTACCTTTCTTGCATATCTTTTCAGTATATTCGTCAACTAGCACAAGCTTTAAAGTATTGTCACTCAAAGAAAGTCATCCATAGGGACATCAAACCAGAAAACCTTCTTCTTACCCTCAAGGTAAGAACACAAGACTCTTCATTCAATGACTAATTTAGATGTGGATTATTTTTAATTCAGTTGAGGTTTGCTAACTTTAACTGCCTACTTGCAGACTTCATAGTCAAATGGCCCCTCCTTAATACAACTTCATTTTTACTTACAGGGAGATTTAAAAATTGCTGATTTTGGTTGGTCAGTTCATGCTCCCTCGTCAAGGTAAAAGTGCAGAGGAAAACAAATGTTGATTTAATATATACTTGTTGTATTATACTTGAGTGACCTCAGGTGTCCTTTAGACCCTGGAGGATACAGACTACAAGAATTCTCTCCACTAATGCACTGCAAGAGCTTCATGAGTTAGGCATCCAGCTCCCACAGCCTATTGGCAATACTCCAAGAGTTACGTGCTGTGCGCTAACTTCAATTTTTAATTACTTGCGCGACAGACTTAGATGAAATGAGGGACTACTCATAGTCTATGACAGATAAGTCAGTGAGTGAATACCCACTAACTAACATTACTAAATGATGCAACATAATTAAATTCCAACATCCTGTAAGGTAATTATTGGCATATTCTTATTATTACTATTGTTACTGAGTATTGCTATAGTTATAATTTTTGTAATAATCAAAAACAATTTCAGGCGGACAACACTCTGTGGAACACTAGATTATCTCCCTCCTGAGATGATTGAAGGAAAAGCACAAGATGAAAAGGTACTTCTTTGAAAACAATTTCAAATTAACTGCCTGGTGTACATTCAAATTTTCATGGCAGAAGTTTTGGTAAATCATTGGTAGATTGCAATGATTCATAGACTAGCTATTAGTTACATCCAACACATAAGTTCACAAGTTGGCTGGGGGGGGGAACTTGCAGAACCAAGTTTCATCCTCATAAAATCTCAAAAGCCAAGAGACAGAGTATATGATCTACAGATCAACACAGCAATAGTTCGGATGCTCAGCATGCCTTAATAGCTCAACAGCCTTCTGAATGATGTCCCTGTTAACCAAAAGAAAATTGAAACATTTTGAGTTGATTTTTTTGTATTTCCTGGTTGAGGAAAAAGACTGCATTTAGAAATGGATTATAGCCATCACGCTGACTCGCATGTTGGGGGAATGCCCCAAATTAAATAAGTGTGGCCTTTGCTTCAAGTTATGTGTTGCAGCAGTTTACTAAGAATGGCTTGTGTGTTTCAGGTTGACCTTTGGAGCCTTGGAGTGCTGTGTTATGAATTCCTTGTTGGAAAGCCTCCTTTTGAAGCTGATGGTCACCATGAAACCTATCGCAGAATCTCAAGGGTAAGAAAGTAACAGTTTTTAAAAAGGCCTCTCTTGAGGTAACTGCTGTTGTCATTATCAAGGATCTTATTCTGCTGAATCATGTCTTTACAGGTTGACCTCAAGTTTCCAAGTTATGTTTCAGAAGGGGCACGAGACCTAATTTCTAAGGTAACATTTCTGAGTCGCATGTCAATTTAGTGTAAGTTGTAAAATGAGTGACAGACACACTATGTAACTGAGCTCTCATTAATCAACAAGTACGATTCAATGAGAGTATGTCAGCATGTTTGAGGCATTTTAAAGATTTGCACTATGTTATCAAGGACTATTTTAATAATTAAATTAAGCAATAGAGGAGTTTTTCTTTGATAATACAGTTTCATCCAGGGCTCAACACTAACAGTAGCCCACTAGCCACAGACTAGTAGAAATTCAATTTTGGCTATTGGTTTTCAATTTCCACCGGCCAGTTTGGCTAGTAAACAGACTGAAATTGTTGTAACATCTAAAAGCATCTAAGATGTCACTAGCCACTTGGCTAGTTAGTTGAAAAGTTAGCGTCGATCCATGTCATCTAAACATTAGGAGAGGGGAGGAGTTGGGTGAGCTATTGAAAGTTATGCAAACCATCCAATGCTCCTTGGGTCTGGAGAACTGTCCTAGATTTTTCAAGATGTACCTCTCATGTTTGCAAAACCATGTAGACACATGCGAAAAAGTAAAAATTACTTTATTGATATTGGCTGCGTGATGTACTGCTTTAAGTAGTCACTTAAAGTATTTATAAGTATAAATTTGTAAAAAGATGTAAAAAAACAAAACTGTTATCACTTTGTAGTAAAACAAAATTTTGGACTAAATTTACAAATATTCCACTTTCTCTTATGTGATCACCAGAGTTTATCAAGAATGTTGATTTACATATTAAGTAATTTCAATGGTTTATTCACCCACAGCTTCTTGTGCATGATCCAAGCAAACGACTTCCTCTGAATGGTGTCCTTGCACATCCTTGGATAAGAAACAATGCAAGCGAAACAGAAATGCAATCTACTTGTAGTTATACAGCAACAAAGCCATAGTTCCAGATATTGTGCAAATTTATTAGTCAATGTAAATACCTTAGCATGTCTCCAGAAACTTAATTTGTATATAGAGGTGGGAAATAGTTTATTTTTGCTGAAGCCATTGAATTATGCACTTATGAATGATAAATGAGATTACAGTATGTTTTTGACATCAATGATAAAAATTTCAACACTGCAACTTCTTTTAAGATAAACATCTTTACAAAAAAAGCTACCATAAATTAGTGTACCTTATTTACTTTCACAGTGTTTGCTTAATTCCTTACCGGTTAAAGGCAATGAAGTGGTTGTATTGTAAACTAGACTTTTTCCCTAACTTCACCACAGGGCTTTTCAATGCCTATCCATCAGCACAATTATTGTCAGGGATACATAAAATATTTTGTTTTTGTTGTGTAGTAAATTACTGTAATGAACCAAAGTAGTAATTATGGATCCAAGGCTACATTTCATTAATTACCCTCCTGACTAATTTTTGGAAAACTATTAAAAGTAGAGTTTATCATTAATTTCGCAGGTGGAAATTTTTCCAAAAAAAAGTACTTGCGAGAGGGTTTTTCTCACTCTTTGACCAATATTAACAAATCTTGTTTGGATTGGTTTAAAACCATTACATTTGTCATAATGCCAGTGACTATTTGATGTAATAAAAATGTTTCTGTCTGCTCAAAGAAATGTTGTTTCTTCACTTAACAAAATGTGGGGTTGTAAACTTATTCCCATGTCAACAATGTTGTAAGGAATTATAACCAAATTTCAAAATCTTGTGCTAGTTACAACCATGTGGGTTTTAACCTGGACAGAAACTTCCCATTTAGCTGGAAAATGGTGATTTACATAAACCCTCAAAGCCACGAACACCAGAAATATTTTTGGAATGTGATTGTGTAAAAGGAAATGAACCAATCAGGTTTGAGGAATATTTCATGTACACAGTAATTCTAAACTCCTTGACAAGCTTGGAATGTGAACCAAGTGTTAATTCCTATTTGGACTTGAATGAAATATCCACTGCCAAATTATCTAAAATTTTGCTCCATTTGTTTTCAAAATGAGTCTATAAATCACTGCATAAATTTTTCCCTCCTTACACATATTCTGCATCTTGAGTGAAAAATCTATTGAATTTATCCGAGTGTAAATTTTAAGTCACCATGTGCAACAATTAATTTCTAAGTGCCTGACAGAACTACCCTCAGTAGCTGGAAAAAAAAAAAACAAACTAGTGGGTATTTGGCAACCCATGTCATGTTTTTAGAAGGTTGAAAATTTTGTAAAACTTTTAAGTATTGGATAAAATCAAAAGGAATGTGAACTCAGGACTAGTACATGTCCTGAGTATTTCTTTTATTGTCCTGTGACAAATATATTTACAATTGCATAGAGGAATATTCTTCACTTACAAAACATTACAAAAAAGTCATCAAAAGAAATTCTCTCTTACTTAGTGAAGCCATAGCCTTTGGTTAACATTTTTAACAACCAGTCACAAAACACCTTCCATGCAAGCAATTAACAAATAGACTCCATGTGTCTGTTCAGTAGTAGATCACAGATGATTTCAAAATATGGTAACAACAAAAAAGTACCACACAAGGCACCGATGAGAGTGATCTACTCTGGTATACACCCACTGCAACATAGAATCTATTTGTTTTACATCATAAATAGTGTCTGTCCTCCAACAGATCATGTGGAAGAACCAGTCAAAATGCATGTACCACTCAGCTTCTTATTTACTATGCATGCATTGTTGATCTTTATTGCCTCAATGGCTCCTTGAGAAAACCCATTTTGCGTAGCTTTCTGACAATAAGCGGTGTGCAGCTGATGGTCATAAACATCCTCAGTGGAGCAAAAACTTTATGGAAAGCATATGCCATCACAAAAGTACTGGCCTCTGTTGCAACACTTGAATCAGCCACTGATGAGCTCACTCCAATGAACTGAAGAGCAGCTTGTACATCAATTCCACTTAAACAAGAAAAACAACATAACCCTTGTTAGTGTGGTTGAAAGTTACTTTCTAAGTTATGTTCATTTCCCTAAAAAATCTGATTGACCTGCATCAGGATAGTCTCCTTCGCAGCCGATGTCACGCAACTCTCCCTCCCCCACCAACCCTGTTGTGTGACTAGCCCAAACAATGGCTGCCAAGGAGACTAGCATCAGGATGGAGTTATCCTATTCACTCCATTCTCTAGTTAATCATTCTCATTACTACAAGCCATACGATCCTTGTGATATTAGTTCTGAGAATTTTAATTTAGATCAATTTATAATCCCCTAATTTATATCTTTCTCTATTCTTGCACTTTTCTACATGATAACATAGGGAGAAATTTTGTCTTGGTCAGACATGGAAGTTTTAGGGTTAATAGAATGACTCAAGAAGGTATTCAAGAAGCAAACAAGGATGTCTTGAGCAATTCTTTTTCCTTGTTGTCCTAAGTGCCAACAGTTGCACTGCTATAATAAGGCCCTCCCCTGGAAAGGGAAACACCTTCTTCCAGGTCAGAAAGTTGCTAAAGATGTTCGTAAGTTGTCTTTGGTTAAATAATTGAAAAATCAGATCCGTTTTAAATTGGACATACTGTGTGGAATTTACCAATGTTTCTCTTGCTGCTTAACATTAGTTTTGGACAAACCTTATTTAAAATATATTTTGATAGTTCTTTAGCTTTTCCATGGTGATGACTGACCTTTTCACAGCAATGTAACACAACCCCAAGGAAGTGAGAGATATAGTTACGTGAAACACCACAGCTGTCGTTCCATATTCTGCGACAACGGACTTAAGTCTGTCCCTAAGCGGCACATTCTCTCCACCTTTCTCTTTTTCCGTTGTACTTTCTGCTGCAGGTTTATCCGCTTCTCTAAAGGCAGAAGTGTGCAACGGTCTCCCGAAACGTAACCACAGTGAATGGCCACTTTGAGCAGGAGATTGAAAGCGAGTTAAGGTGGCGTTACCCATGAACGAAAGGAGAGCCCTTGGATGTTTTGAAATTCCCCGACAGTTTGTCATAATAAGACGAAGAGAAGAACTTGAAATCATCTTGTAGTGTCTTACTTAACAGAATAGAAGCTGGCGGGTAATATGCGCAAATCTTACCACAAATCCTTGCAATGACGATGGACAGTTTCCTCCAGGCGTTCCAATGGTGTTATACAACCGAGGCGTGTAAGGTCGTTCCCAGATCTCCTTCTCTAAATTCAACAATCTTAGGATGAGTTTTCTCCGTGAGGTGGAGAGCTTTAAAACAGGAAAGCTAAAATCCGTCAATACTACGGTCACCACAGCAGAGGGAAGGAAGGTAAAATAGCGACATTGTATGAAGTGTTGCCATTAACCTTATTAGTATTACATTGTGTGGCCTTGTGAAGCAAACCAGACCACAAATTATATCAATTTTTACTATGTATCATAACTGAATTTCATTAGATCTTCAATAAGTCCGCATAACCCCTTACTATTCTATGTTTCTGAAACGAAACTACTTTCAGTTGTTATTTCTCTGAACAATGCTTCAGTCACCTAAAGGAAACCCCCGGGCCAAAGTTGTGTCCAAGTGCCCTATTCAAGAACAATTTTCTATGGAAGGATTCACAGTGCGATCAAGCAATGTTGTAGAATGTAGCAGTCTCGTAATAATTTTTGATGCTGCTAGTAGGTTTTTGCTTGCAAGCATTTCTACAATGGGAAAATCCTTATTTGCCATTCACTCCTGAAAAGTGGACTCTTTATCCTTTAACTTCTCCACATAAAAAATTTAAACACATGTATTCCTCTAAAAAGACTTGACAATTCTGGTTCAAATTTCCCACCCCTCCCAAGCAAGCTTCAAATTCTCTATCCCAGGGAAATCATTGTGTCAAATGCCTGTGGGTTGCCTGGTCAGAGAGGGAGAGATTCATGTAGCTTCTAATTGATCAGAATTATTTTGTTTCTAGATTGATTTTAGATGAAAAAATCACTGAGCTATAACTTAACCATTTCCTTATTCTAAGTTTCTAGAACGTAAGAGTGGAAATGGGAGTATCATCACTGTAGATACTGGAGAGCATGGCTTAGGATTTTGCAAGGACCTCTCACCAGATGACAAGGTTTACAATGTACTGGACAACTTATTTATAAGCTCACAAGAAGGAGCCAGAAATTTGGAAGAACTTAAACAAAATAACATAACTCACATATTAAATGTTGGAACAGGAATAGAGAATGCCTTTCCAAAGGTGATTGGTTTTAATATATGCAGGGTCTTGAACCTTAAGTAAGGTGTGCAATCTAACTAGTTAATATCTAAAGCAGGGTGTCTCTCCTCTTTCAAAGTCTTGAATAGGGTATGAACATTGCCAGTGCTTGGTTTGCATGTGGAGTTATTTTCACTTAGTGATGTTTTTCAAGTCTTTGTTTGAATATGATTGGAGTGGCTTGGTGAGGACAATTTTGCAACTTCTGTGACAGCTTTTTTCTCTTGAACAAAAAAGAATTACCCTTTAAAACAGGATCAGGTTTTGAAGGTGTTATTGGCACATTCCTCCCCCCCCATATTTCCTTCAGTGGCTACCCCCCCCCCCTGCTCCTACATCTTCCCTTTTCCCCCAAAACTGAAATCCTGATCCTTTAAAGGATCCTAATCAACCACACCTCTATTTTTGTTTACATAAGGGCAACTGCAGAGGAAATCTTTCAAATAACTCTTAATACCTGGAAGGAGTCATGCTGGCCAGCTAACACTTTTTACCTGGGGTAAAGAAAGGATTCATTAAAGGAGAAGCATTACACATCCTAAGAATTATATATCCAGCATGCACCATGTTTGAAAAAAGAATATAGTTTCTCTTAAAGAAGGGAATAAAAGATACCAGTGGAAGTTCTAGAGAAATAGAGGTTTGGAGTTATCTGCTGCAGTAGAGATTGGTCACTTAAGAACAGAGAAAATATTTAGCACACAAAAGAAAGTACTGTATTTTGTAGCACAATGTCATCCACCTTTACTAAATCTCAAGAACATACTGATGGGGAAATGGCACCTTATTTAAAACCAATGTGCTTAAGCACAATGCCAATGATAGTCATTAAAATACATCCTGGTCAGAACTTATCTCTCAAGGGCAGGCTCATTAATAGTTCAAGTTTTAAGTGGTCATTTGCTTCTTGTGACTGCAACTAGGATCCTTTAAATACAGGGTCACACTTTGAAGGCCTTATATAGGCATTCTCCCACCATACTTCCTTTTAGCAGTTACTCTCCAGTGCCCCCCCCCCCCCAGGTCATCCCTTCCTTGCATTTCCTGATGAAAGCAGCAAATGTGTAACCTTTCTCTTTTCAGGAGTTTGAATACAAGACTGTTGAGATGCTGGATTTGCCAGAAACTCCCATTTGTCAATACTTCCCAGGGATGTTTGATTTTATAATTAATGGCTCTAAAAGTGGGGCAGTGCTTGTTCACTGGTAAGGGAACCTTTAAGTTCGTAATTAATGCATATTTTGTAATTAATGCCTCAGAGAGAAGAAGAGCATCCAATTTCTCCTTACAATACCATCCCCCCAATCACACTTAAAGGTCACAAGAATCAAGGAAATGATCACCATCTACAGAAGCCACTGATTGTTAAACAAATTCTCCTTGTCAGCACCTTAGGAAATGTATAGGGAACAGTATGGAGAAAAAGTATTCCAAAAAAAAAAGAGAGAATATCTCATTTGTTTTTTGATAGTAATGCTGGTGTGTCTCGTTCTGTGACTGTCATTCTTGGATACTTGATGTTTTCAAAAAGATTGCCATTGGAAGAGGCCATGGAGATTGTTAAAAAAGCCAGACCAAGTGCAAAACCTAATGAGGGATTTCTCCATCAATTACAAGACTACCAAACACGGCTTGACCTTTCTTAAAAGAAAGCGAGAAACAATCTTACTGAGTTGTAATATCACAGTTTGAATTTTAATTCTCGTTTTAAAGAATTAAGGATAAATATAATTACTACAGGAAAAGTGAGGAAAAGAAACTTTCTTTCCTTATCCTAAGAAATAATCAAAATGTTTTTATTATTAAAGAAGTGAAATTTGGTAGATTTTGCGTACTTTAAAATAACAGAGGTCTTTTATTTGAGAAGTGGTGTACGGTTTTGTCTCTGTTTAGTTTTTGTGTGTTTTTATTTATCTATTTCTTTTTTTTTGTGAATTTTGATGATATGTATGTAGTTGAGGACATAAATTTATGAGGACTTACAATGACGAGGCATCCAAAAACGAAACAAAAATAAAAAAGCCAACTTTACACACACTCACGCACAAAAAAAAAACAAACAAATGAGAAGCTGAAAATTAGGCAGAGGGGAGAGGTGTGGTGGGGTGGCGGGGGTAATGTGCAGACACAGAATAAACGAGTTTCATTCAACCATTGCCACAGGAAAGTTCTCACACTTGTTTCTGGTAGAGAAAGACCTCCTGATCAACGTGAGTTAGTTCGTAGACTTGAATTGTGGTATGCGTTTGAAAATACAGGGCTTTTTTCGTTACTCGCTCATCATTTCAACCTGGAAACGAGGCTGGGATCTTAATTGACCTTTCATCTCTAACTAGAAAAGTGAATGCGATTAGAAATGGATGGAGACTTCAGTAGATGTGAAGCATATGGCAAGGATGGCGTTTGTGGTGTAAGTTTCAAATTAGAGGGCTTTTCTGTCACTCGCCCTATATCTCGACATGGGAACGATGCTGGAAGCTAAAGAGACCTTTTAGCTCCCAATGGATACCCGAATGCGATGGAAAATTGGTGGAGACTTCACAGCCAGGTAAGTAGATGTGAAACATATGACAAGATGATAATGAGTAGATGTTAAGCATATGACGACTTGATGATAAGGAATGTCACGTGACTGCTGACGTCAGTATTTTTTTCTTGTACTATTAGAAATATCGTGGAGGTCAATATCGCGCACTTGCCCGCACTGATCCCGCGCATGCAAAAAAAAAAATAGAATTAGAACTACGTTCGTAATTCTTGGACGATTTCGGCGATGGAAACTCTAAAAGCGGCAGAAGATAGTCAAAACAAAGAAAACAGAACCGATTCTTGTGAGTTTGTTGTTCTGCATACACAGTTGGCTTCCTTTCCCGGTCCTCGAAGTAAACAAGTCATTCTTAGTGGAGCTTTTGTAAAGTTAAGCATAGCGTGACAAAGCGTGACAAACAATTCTAAAGTAAGCTTTGATTACATAATTACAACCGGAAATATGAGTTATGTGTAACCCTTTGTTGTTAGAGTCTTCGTAAAAATATTCCTACTACGTGTCGTATAGAATATGGAAACTTGTACCTGTTTTCCGTTTAAAAACACGTTATTTGTATTTTGACTCGCCCAACGGGCTCGTCAAAATACGGCACAACTCGTAAAAATACTCAGCGATACTACACAACAAAACGTCTAATAAGATATATGTATTTTGAAATGTATGCCGCAATTCAACTCAACGTGATCCTTGTCATATGCTTCACATCTACTGGAGTCTCCATCCATTTCTAATGGCATTCACTTATCCATTCAGAGATAAAAGGTCACTTTAGATCCCAGCCTCGTTTCCATGTTGAAATGATAAGCGCGTGACAAAAAGCCCCGGTTTTTGAAAGGTATTCCACAGTTAACTTCACGAACTACCTCACGTTGATCAGGAGGTCTTACTCTGGAAGAATCAAGTGCCAGATCTTTTGTGTGGAGATAGTTGAACGAAACTCGGTTTTTTGGGTATCTGCTCCCTCACTACTTATTCAATTTAATGATCTTCAGCTTAAGTACTCCAGATTAGGGGAGAACAGGAAAACACAGTTTTAGTATTTCCCTTTTTCCGGTCAAATTTGAAGATGCTTCCCTTTTACATATTGTTAAATGCCTCCATGTCGCCGAACTGCCCACCTGGTTTCTCTTTGGCAGACGAAAAGGATGCAGCAATGGTTCTTGTTGGAATCAATATCGTGGCAAGTATTTTGGGCACCTTGGGTAACTTATTCGTATTAATTACAGTGTGTACCACTCAAGGTATGGTCTCCAGTTTTCATTACTTCATCCTAAGTCTTGCTACCGCGGATTTAATGGTTGCACTCTTGGATCAACCCCTTCTCGTTGCTCTTATTGGTGCACACATGAACTTCAAATGTCTTCCATTCGTGGATGAAGCCTTTCGAGCAATTGGCAACTTTGCATGTGCTGTCTCGTTGTTGACACTGGCTTTGATTGCTCTTGATCGGTGCTTGTTTGTATTACCGTCGATTAATTACAAGAACACGATGACAACAGGGAAAAAGATAGTTTTAGCCGTAGTGTGGACTTTGGCCTGTGGATACGCTGCTCTACGGCTCACTGTAGACAAAAAGATCACATCCTATCTTACTGCCGCCGTGTTCGGCGTTTCTTACGTAGAGATGATCCTATGTTACACTGTAGTGTATTACCAAGTTTTCAAACAACGCGAATTTCTCAATGCGTCACGAGGGCGCTTTCAGACAGCAGAGCAGGTCGAATCACTGGAAAACCAAGCCCAAAATATTACTTTAGAGCGGCGTTTTGCTCGCACCATCGTTATGGTTTTGTTCGTTTTCACAGGAGGATGGTTTTTACTTTTCTATCTGCGGTTGACACAACCTGAAAAGAACTACGGCATCATGTACAACACTGCACGCACTGTAGCACTTTCAGCTTCTGCCATAAACCCTGCTCTTTACTGCCTCAATAATAAAGAATATTGGCGAGCGTTCAAAAGGATTTTGATTAAATTGGTCTGTGTTGGTTCAAAGAGAAAGCGAAGGGTGAACTATGAACGGATCAAGTGAAAGCAAATTTAGGACTTTCACCTTTTGCCGCCAACCCTGCGCTGCACTGCCTCAACAAGAAAGAATATCGGTGAGCGTTCAATAAGATTTAAATGAAATTGGTTTGTGTTAGTTCAAAGACAAAGCCAAGGGAGAACTATGAACGTAATCGTGAAAGCGGAAGTATAGCTCCGGAAGTGAACTAAGGAAGTGGCGGTGACATACACACGTGACAGTGCGATTTCATGACACTGCGAAGTCACGGTGGTGTGGAGGAAATTTCTCCACTGCATTATAATTAGTAAAACGATATTTAGAGAATTGGAAAAGTAATTAAGCCTGAGTCTGTCTCGCTTTGCAAATCCTTTTGCTCAGCGAGAAATGGCCGCCATCTTTGATTTTTTTGTGCAGCGGAAGGCTGGAGGGAGAAAGAAATATATACCAAGGGGGTGAGTGACGGTTTAGAATTAAGAGAGGGGCTAGGGAAGGGAAGGCTATATTACGCGTCCTATCACCCCTTCCCCTGCCGTTGACTCTACTTCCAAATTGACCGCCTCCCGGTTAGCTCAATGGATAGAGCGCTGAACTGTTGTGCGGGAGATCAAGGGTTCGAGCCCCGGCCGGACCAACACTCAGGGTCTTAAAATAATTGAGAAGAATTTGCTACCTTTCTATAACATAAAGAAATGGTTAGATATTCAAGTCTTCTCGGATAGGGACGAATAAATGGTGGTCCCGTCTCCTGCAGGGGTGGGGTAGGAGACGT